GCACTCAGTATTCTGGGAAGTTTGTGTGCATTGGGAATCATATTTTTTCAAATAAAGCCAGGGTAACACTCATTTTACATATAGCACAAAGAGAAAATGACATGAATATGACAGTGGGCAAATGCATAAAGTGCAGCATAATTTGAAATCACGATTTTAAAGTTTAAAGCATTCAATTCACACGGACTGACCGTCACACAGAGAACACGCGATCATGCTGGATAAAAATGCACACTTCACAAGATCTCACAGCTGGATTCGACTAAGTTCGCAAGGTTTGTGAAATTAAATGTTCATTAGTCATTCAAAGATTTGTTTAAATGATATTAATGCGTATTTGCTTAATGCTGACGGCAAACGAGAAAGTATTATAATGTCTGCCTTTCTATTACTAATGATATAAAAGCAATCATTATAATACTTTTTGTATACATTAATTCCTTTGTTTAACCGTTCTATCTGATTATTAAACAGACTTCTATCCGTATTAGACAGAACTGTTAACAACGACAGTAAACAAGAGAGAGAATGTGAGCACTGTGTGCTCAGGCGCTGCCGTTCTCACCGCCGTCAAAATAAAAGTCCCGCCTCGAACACATCGGCCAAACAGAAAAACTTATCGGCCGATGCCGATATTTGAAAAAATGCCAAATATCGGCCGATATATCGGTCGACCACTAAATAGAAGTCTGTCTAAAGGCCCCGATACACTTCAAGCGAAATCTAAGAACGAACTGATGTGACATCATTTCGAACAAAATCCGGCCAAAACGTTTTGGGAGTTCGAAACGGCTTGCCAAAGCGTACTTTCCGGAAAAGTTTGTTGCGACTGCAAAACACCTTCGTACTACCATTGGTCCTTGACGATTACTTCATAGGAGGTGTGCGCTGAGGCTCCACCTTCTTTCATGCGAACTCACAAACTCTTCTCTGGGTTCATTTCGTCTGTCGAGTCTTTGGAGGTCAGATTGTGTCCATTCACAATTTGAAGAAAAATTTTGTTTGTCTAACCCTTTACAGTTACGAATGATGTATTACTCTTACCTTTATGAGCAAAAATGACGGTGTATCCACTGAAAAAAAATGCAAGCGATCACGCTGGCGTCTCTATGTCCTGCAAAGCGCGTTTCAGCTTCCACTCTCTGCGCAAACTATTGGATACAGCGCACATTTATCTAGGTTTAACGTCTAAACATTGTTATATGCTTGAACTGTTTTATATCTATAGATTTTATTTTAGTCAAGTCGTGATGATTTGAGAAGGCTAAATTGATCAAGCATATGCTCACTGTCTGCCGCTGGCCGCTTGGTCGTTACTTTAAATGTGTAACGTTAATTAGGCTATGTGAGTACTGCTCATGTCTGAAAATAATATATGAAAAACAAAATTATTTTATATAAAAACATTAGGCTATAGCTTATATTTATTTAGTACATTTTTTAATTAATGTAAAAACTAAAATGAATTGTAAAACTGAAAGTATTTTTTTTAAATTGTGTTCAGCATGGTGGGCCGCATGTGAATTCGTGAATTCGTGGGCCACGGGTTGAGAACCACTGATCTAAGAGGACTGAACGTTCACTTACAATGTTTCAGGAATGACCAACCATGTGTAAAAAATTATGAGTCATTGCTATAATTGACAGTGATAACTGTATTAAGGAACAACACATCTGACAAGCCCATGGCAAAAATAGACCTGTGCATTAAGTGATTCAGACTAAATTCAGAGTAACAAAACTACAGCAGTAACAGTGAATTTGTGCACTTGCTATACTTTATACTTCAGTACTGTAAAAGTACTAAAATTTGTTAGCAAATCCATTTTTTAATAAATCCATGGCAACTGAGCTAATGATTGATCCTCTGCTGCCATCTACTGGTTATAATGGTAATTTCACATAATTTCTGCCAGGAGACACATTTTTGGCTTATTTGTCATGTCATCTTCATGAATGAAAAGTGAATCTTTAAAGTGAATTTTACTGCACAGCTGTGGAGTTGAGAAATAATAAAGGCTTTAAAATATTATGTGTTTAAAAAAATGTGTTCATGACTATGAAGGTAAGTTATTGATTATCAAGAATACCATTATCTAGCATCGCTAGCTAGCCAACGTTAGCCTAAACCAGGGGTCTCCTGGAAGGCCAGTGTCCTTTAGAGTTTATCATAATTTATGGTGTTGCAATTATTTAGTTTCTCAGTTTCTGACAAGAACGAGGCAGGATAGTTTTTTTTGTGAAGGTCTCAAGAGTCTCTACCTATATATACCACAACATCAAATGATGTTTCACCGGAAGTTTACGAGTTGGCTTATCTTTATGCAGAAGTTCTAAAGAACACTCCGTGCATATAGTCAGTTGAATGTGGACAGAAGGAGAGTTCAGCTTCACTGGAGACGCACGATCTACAAACTTTAAACTCATGATCTTTATTTGGCTGTTTTAACCATTGTGTTTTTCAACACATTTGTTGTGGTAAAAATGGGCCACAGCAAAAAGGGAAGTCGTGGCCTAATGGTTAGAGAGTCGGACTCATAACCCAAAGGTTGTGGGTTCGAGTCTCGTACTGGCAGGGATTGTAGGTGGGGGGAGTGAATGTACAGCACTCTCTCCCACCTTCAATACCACGACTGAGGTGCCCTTGAGCAAGGCACCGAACCCCCCAACTGCTCCCCGGGCGCCGCAGCATAAAATGGCTGCCCACTGCTCCGGGTGTGTGTTCACGGTTTGTGTGTGTTCACTGCTGTGTGTGTGCACTTTGGATGGGTAAATGCAGAGCACTAATTCCGAGTATGGGTCACCATACTTGGCCACATGTCACGTCACTTACACTTCACTCACTCACTCACTTACATGATTACAAACTATGTTGTGCTTTATTTATTTCCCCACTGTCATATTCATGTCATTTTCACTGTGTGCTGTATGTTAAATGAGTGTTTCCTTGGCTTTATTTGAAAAAATATGATTCCCAATGCACACAAACTTCTTATGTATTTAAAAAAAAAATGTATTTATTTGTGAAAAATACTGTAATAGGATTACAGAATCAAGAAGTTGTCATCTAAAGTATTAAGTGTGTTTATTTGACATTTATTTTTTAATTCATTTTCAAATTATTTCCAATTTCTTAAATATTAATTAAAATAAATACAAATTTATTCAGCCACTCTGCTCTCTAAGATATCGGCATCGGCTGTCAAATAAACAATATTAGTCAACCACTAATAAATACACTACTGTTCAAAACAGTTTGAGGTAAATGTTTATGAAAGAAGACTTTCATGCTTATAAAGGCTGCATTTTTTTTATCAATACAATAAAAACAGTAATATTGCAATAAAACCTCATAAACCTCCTGCCATTCATGATCAGCTTTAGTTTTCAGATAATTACACAGAGGACAGAGTAACACTTTATTTTGATAGTCCACTTTAGGCATTCTACTACCTATAAATAACTTTGCAACTACATGTCAACTAGCAGTCATTGGAGTATTAGTAGACTGTCTGCTTAATATCTGCTAACACTTTTTGATGGTCGCTCAACAGATGTTCTCTTGACTATAAGTAACTTTGCAAGTACGGCAACTTATTCTACTAACCCTAACCTAACAGTCTACAAATGCTCTAATGAGAGTTAGTTGACATCTAGTTGCAAAGTTACTTACAGTTAGTAGAATGTCTAAAGTGGACTTTCGAAATAAAGTGTAACCATGGACAGACATTGAGTCTTATCGCTAGAACTGGATAAGACTTATAAACACGTGTGAGAATTCACTATTGATAATCTCTGATGAGGTGTTCTATTGATAGAGATTCTGTTGACCTAGTTTGTGAACTCTTTGGACACTGTTTTGATTGTGTGAACCCAAAAATAACGATGATGGAACCTTATTCGAACAGTTTATTAATGTAAATGAATGTAGATAAAAACTGAAACCTAAACTACTTGACCAAAATGAAGCAGACACCTGAACAGTGTATTTGTATGCGCTTGTTTGACATTTAATTCCACAACTATTGGCATTAATACGGAGTTGTTCCTACCAAACAGCTTCCACTTTTCAAGGAGGACTAGATACTAGATATTGAACATAATTTCCTCCCATTCAGACAGATTTAAAAACAAAGAAAGCATTATTGTGAAGATATCAAATACATTTGTGCACAGAGTACAATCTAAGCTTACCCAGACTGCTCTTTAACCTCTTAACTTTCAGGCGCCATTCACCGCAGAGAATCGGAAAAAAACCATAGACAAAATCCTAAAGGGCAAACTGAACCTTCCACCTTACCTCACCCAAGAAGCACGGGACCTTCTGAAAAAGGTAGAGGTCTTAAGGTCAAACAGGTTTCATGCCACTGTGGAATTCTCCTGTTGCTTAACTTACGGGGTTGCGTATGTATGTTTCACACCCAGCTGCTGAGAAGAAATGCATCAACGAGGATGGGAGCAGGTCCTAGAGATGCATTAGATGTCCAGGTATCTGGCCTTATGATATGGTGAACCCATTATCATAAAAGTAGGAGATTGCATATACATATATCGTGGAGTTTTATATATTTTAAAAGCAGATTTTATTTTTAAGGGCCACTCCTTCTTCAGACACATGAACTGGGATGATCTACTGGCTTTTAAAGTTGAACCTCCCTTTAAGCCTTTTTTGGTATGAGATAGTGTTTTCTTTCTCTGTTCAGTCAACTGTTTGCCTCTCTCTTATTGCATGTTTAGAGTTATTATTATAGAGCTCATGATGTGGTATCTGATAATAACTCCTCACAAATCTCTATTTCTGCAGCAATCAGCAGATGATGTTAGCCAGTTTGACTCCAAGTTCACTAGTCAGACTCCAGTGGACAGTCCCGACGACTCGACACTCAGCGAAAGCGCCAACCAAGTCTTCCTGGTCAGTTTGTTGTCCTGGTCACTTTTTAGACTAAATTTATCTCTATACTCTTTAAATATATGGCCTTTGCACAAACACTATACCGCTGTGAGGACTCCAACTGCATTACATTTATCCAAAGTGCATCAATAATAAACTTTTTTTTGTTTATTAGCCAATAACAGATAAATAGAAAGTATTACAAGTCTGATATTACCAGTATTATGGGCTACTGATATTATAGGGTACTATTTTGTATACACTATCATTCAGGAGTTGTAAGATTTTAGTTTTTGAAAGAAGTCTTTTATGCTCACTAAGGCTGCATTTATTTAATCAAAAAGGCAGTAAAATAGTAATATTGTGAAATGTTATTACTATTTAAAACAATTTTATATTTAAATATATTTTCAACTGTGATTTACTCCTGTGATGGCAAAGCTGAATTTTCAAACGAACAGCATTTATTTGCAATAGAAATCTTTTGTAACAATGTACAAGTCTTTACTGTCACTTTTGATCAATTTAATACATCCTTGCTAAATAAAAGTATTAATTTATTTTGAATAAAAAAACTTTTGAATGGTTGTGTAGATAAATAAAATATTAAACAGACTTTTATTATAAACAAAGATGTTCTTCAGACAAATAGAGTAATATTATGCACCTCCAAGGCCTTGTTGTACGTGACACCATAGCCCAAACATAACAAGAACCCGACTGAAGCCTCAAAACTTGTTTATACACCATTTGATCTTAATTATCATCAGCATGCTGTGTAGAGCACTCAAGAGTGTGTATGAGATTAGTTTCTGACTCCCGACCTACATTGTGAGTGTGTGTGTTAGCATTGTGTGTGTGTGTGGTAAATTAGTTCTTTTTGTAGACAAACTTACGAGAAAGGGATAATATCTCTCATCTGGTCCGTATTATTACTGTTTAACTGTTTTTTTCCAGCTCTTAGCGTGACATGTTCTTTTTTTTTTGGTTCATCATAATTGCACATCCTCTACACTCATCAATTTTTTCCCTTTTTTCCCTTTTATTTTGTCTACCCAAACTTTTTTTTATTTTTTATTTAATCTCTTCTCGGATGTCGTCTCTCCTCAGGGCTTTACATACATAGCTCCATCTGTGCTCGAAAACATCAACGAGAAGTTCACTTTTGAGCCAAAATCCCGTTCACCTCGCAAGCTTCTGGGAAGCCCAAGAACACCAGTTAGGTAATGTTTTTCTCATTCCACTGAGATTCGCACAGTTTGCAGTGTGTATAAAGTAGTTCTGTCATGTTTTATGATCTTGTAGGGCTGGGTAAAAAAATACAGAATTTTTTTAACCCAGATTAATCATGGTCTGCATTCAAAGAAACATTAATTTTCAGAAAGAATCTTTCAAAATAAGCTCACATGCTGTGTCTGAATATGCCTGCTCCCATACTATATAACAGGTGAAAAGCAGTATGTGAAAAGAGTAGTATGTCTGAATTAATAGTATTCAAACAGTAGGCGAAAAATACCCAAATGCCTCAATATTTTCTCTATATATATATACAGTATATATACATATATATATATATATATATATATAAAATATATAACAAGATATATATATATATATGTGTGTGTGTGTGTGTGTGTGTGTCCATATACACTAACTAATTGAAATGTGTGTTGATTCCCAGCCCTGTGATTTTGTAGGGAATGACATTGATTTCATTTATTTGGGCTTCAAGTCCAGGGTTGTGTACATGCTGTAACATGTCATGTTTATCCTGGTTTTGCGTTTGTAACTTAACATGAATCGAGATCCATAACCCATGATGCCATACTTGCGTTTTCCAGCCCTATGAAGGCTGAAGGGGAAGACGGTTGGTCTCGGGGTCCACCCTTCCCAGAAGTGCCCACAACCACCTCCTCTCTCCTGCCGCCCACTGATACGCCCATGGAGGCGTCTAATGTGGAGCAGATGGACATTAGCAGCAACATGGAGGTGTCAGCCCCTCTCCCCATCAAAAAACCACTGGGATCCAACACGGGGTCCTTCATGAAACCAGCTCACCCAGCGGGCGGCAGGAGACCCAAGAATCGGAGGATGAATCATTGATGAACGTCTTAATTTTTGTACTTCAGAAATTTATCAAATGACCCAAAAGGCCTTTCTGCACCCAGTTTCTGTCACTTAAACACTTGTCCTCTCTCTACTTGCACCATGGTGAGGTGGTCTGCTGCTTGCTATGAAAAAGAGAGACCACCTTGCACTTTAGGCGACTCTGAGCATGAATTTCACAGTTTATCTTTTATATGCCATGCTCATGCAAAACGTGAGGGAGAATTCATTGTATCTTCTGCTGTATATTTGAAGTTTGGTCTGAGAAACTGAGTTTGAGTCACTTATTGTGTTTTGCTTGACTATGATGTTGGGATAGCTCTAATAGTATTTAAATGGATAAAAAAAATAAAATTAATTCTGTCATGTACTCACCCTTATGTCATTCCAAACCTGTATAACTTGCTTTCTTTTTTCTGTGGAACACGAAAGATGATTTTCTCAGTGTTTTGTTGTTTTAGACCGCTTGACTTTCATTATGTGGACAAAAACAGTTGAATTATGCTTCAAAATTTCTTTTGTGTTTCACAGAAGAACAGAAAGTCATCCAGGTTTGGAACAACATGAGGGTAAATGATGACAGAATTTTAATTGTTGGGTGGATTGCCTTTTAAAATGGCGAGAGAAGATTCGGGTCTACATTCTTGAGGAATCTGTCTGATTTATGATATATTTGATTCCTAATTCATCAACAGTTGTTAGGACCCCTAGAATCACGATGTAGTGCACTTGGAGATCTACAGTCGTTTTAGCCTAACTTGCTAATGATAAACTATGAAGTAAAAAATAAGCTGATTTTTTTTCTTTCGTGTTAGTTCATTTGCTGTAAGTTCATAAGACAGTATTAGATGACTTGATGAAATTATTCTCTTGTTTTGGTTTGTTCTTGATTACATTTAATATTCATACATTCAGGTATGAATCTACCTGCGTTCTGGGCATCAAATCACTGTTTTTCTTTTTCCAACCAAACTGTCTGACCAAAGAATATTAAAAATATTAGATTACTAAATAAAACAGTTTAAATCCTCTTAATCCAGAGTACAGTTACTTATTTGTAAGCCACATCCACAAATGCCATTAATACTGATATGCTGTCACCCATCTGTGAAAACTATTGATTTTAAACAGAATGTTTATTTAATTTTACTTTTCACCCTAGACAGCCAGACGAGTTTTGAAATAGTTTCCTTAACACTTCCCCTATCATTTATTACTTTTTTTATTGATTTTTTCCCCCTGAATGTGTTTAGATTTTTTTTAACCTATTTATTTTTCAGGTGCCATATAGTTTTCTAAACTATGCAAATTATTTATTCTTTATAGTCAAGAATGCTGTTCTGGATTTAGCCTGATTAGTTACATGAACACAGAGACATGCCAACCCTTTTAATTTTTATTATTTAGTACTTCTTTCTATAATGGTGTTGGGGTCAAAGTAATTTTATTAATCTCAAGGACATTAAAAGTTGGGATTTTAAGTATGTTTTCAGGATGTGCACTGTGCACCAGATGAGGGGAAAACCACTGGATTATTTATCGTTCTATTGAATTTTGATTGAATATGCTTGGATGTGGTTAAGGGAAAAGAAGATGATGGAAGAGTAATAAAGTATAAAAATAAACAAAAATCTGTATTTTTTTCATTGTTGTACATAGACATGATTCTTCATGAATATTGGTGCTCTTTCCTTGTATAATAGTTCTTATAGATACAATAAGTATGATAATGTGACTCCAACTGGTGAACACTGAATCTGCATCGTTAAGATTTGCTGTCTGTAAGCAGGGGTTATTTAGACAAAGTCATCACAGGTGGTTTCATGTATTGTGTTTCACAGGCATTCCTGTGCTCGTAGTACTGTGTTATTGTTATCAATGAACGTCTGCGTGTGAGGCTGCGATTGCGTCTGTGTGACCACATTTAAACAATTTCTAAATGGCACACTTTTTTTCCCATGGGAATGTAAAATAGGCTTGTTTTCTGCTTGAGAACATTGTTCTGTTGTGACATTGTAACTGACTGATTGAATGTGATGTTAACCTCAATCCTCAAACTCTAATTTCCATAATGTAGATTGTAATTGTGGTTGGACATTAGGAGGCCATTGCTCTGATTGAACTGTCTGGACTTTGCAGCAGCTTCCATCAAGCTAATAATTGGCTGTACTCTCTATGCACAGGAAGCATGATGGTGAATATCTTACACTATCAGATACAGTGCCTACTGATAAACAACAGGCTGCTGTGCCGTGGCGGTTAACAGCCCGTAATGGCTTCATGTGAATTTTGCCTTCGCATACACAGATATTGACCATTTATTCTATGCAATGCTGTCTGAGAGAGAGGGGTCTGTAATGTGGCATAAATGGCTTTATGTATCACTTCTGTCACTGTCTGATTAGTTGGATATTGACCATTAGCCCATATAATCACTAGACTGGGTTTAAAACCTCTCAAACCATCTTCCACTGATTCTTGCAGTCATGTTGGCATATTAAGACATAACTTGGTGCCAAGTGTTAATGGTCTATTTTTTTGTGTGTGTTTTTTTTATCTTTATTATATGTTCCTTATAAAAATATAATGTGGTGTGTAATTGAGATTTCGAAAAAGTTGACCTGAACCTAATTTTGAAAATCTGTAGTACTCCATTACATTAGAATTGGAACAAATTCTGAAACTTCCTGATTCTAAAGTGAAACGAAAATGCCTGTGAAGAGAATTGAGATGCAGATGAGGATTCATTTTGCATTTTAAATGCTGTGTTTATTACAGTGTCACGTTTGGTTTAAAAAATGAATGGATATAAAGTACAGAATTACATGAGATTGTTTCAGATCTGGTGTTTTGTGATTGCTTGTGTTTATTTTAAAATTAATTTTAATTTAACCTCTAGTGAATTCTACAAAATCAACAAAATTGAATTTGAGCATTTACCAAGCAACCCTGCATTTACTGGACAAAGAATTTCAGTGACACTTTTTAAAGGTTTTTAAAATGTATTTGGTCAAATATACTGGATAAAAATACAATTATAACTGCATACTGTATGATGGTACTAAAATAGATATTTCTTCAACGCTTTGGTTTATTACAATGTAAGTGCAACATGATTAGAAAAATACCATGTATCTGTGAAGGGCCTGAATTACAAATGCATTTAGCAGGTACAGTGACATTTTAATAATTCAAAAGCCATTGTATGTTGTTCAGTCACAAAATTCACATGGTTCCAAAATTCTAATGCTACATCATTTGATAAATCAGTAGTTCAAGTGCAATTACCTCACATTCAGATTATTACTAAAGAAACCAGAATACTGGAACGCAAAATCCATAACTTTTCAAAACTCCTTATTATTGGATTCATAAAAGTGTTTAAGAAAAGTTCAGTTACAAAAACCACAGTATCTGACTATGGATCAAAAAGACCAGTATCTATGAAAAATGAAACAAATTTTTTTTAAATACATTTAGGGAGTCAACAAATGAATTTCTGCTATGTTATTTGTTAGTGTTTTCTCCACAAATACAATATGAAGAAATATATTTGTCTCCACTGTATTCTTCTGCTTACACCCAGAAGGTAATTAGTAATATTGCAAGAACACAAAGAGGAATATAAATTATAAACACTAAGAAATATGGGAGCTCCACATGCAAAATATTAGTATAATAATAATAAGAATACAAGAGCTGCACTTGTCCTTTTGACAAGATATCTATATCTATATATATATATATATATATATATATATATATAAACTCAAACTGGAGCTTTTTCTAGAGCCTTTTGTCTTATAACAAGTGCTGTTTGCTCAACGGAGATGTTTGAGAGGAGAAAACAATCCATATTATGTGGATCCACTGCTGGTCACAACACTGTGTCTCCATCCTTTCGGTGAGATTTCAGTAGATTTGAAAATAAGCTGATGTTGCACCATCTTTCCACTTATGCACCTTGTCTGTGATGACAGTGCGGCACAGGGGGCAGGTCCTCTCCTGGTTAAGCCACTGGGCGATGCACTCCTCACAGAAGATATGCTAGAGACAATCAAACAGTAAATAGTTGACATTTATGCACATGCATTATGTGACATTGTGTATTACTAATTTGTATTTGCTATTTTGTCTTTTTCATGTGGGCTGAGCTTAATTCTGTAATAAATTTTGCCTTCAAGAAGCATTGTGGTTTAGTCTGGGAATGTGGAGGTTAAGGGGGGTTGACATCGGTGGTCAAACTCAAGGACCACATTCTCACCTGACACACGAGGAACCGAGGCTGCTTAAAATCAGCCTGACAGATCGGACAAATGTCACCTGCCTCTCTAACCTGAGCAGGACTGGCTGAAGCTCCGTTCACCTTTACAGACAGGTAGGAACAACATTTTACAGCATATATGGAAAACAAGTCATTTCTGTATAATTTCACTATTTGTCTTACAGATTACCCAACAAATATTTCAGAATAAGGAGAGCAGCACAGGACAGGTAAAAAGCCATCTTTTGTACCTCAGAACTAAAAAAAGTCCGTAATGTTTTTTGCAATGATCCTGACAGTCCATACAAGGCCAAAAGCTAAAAAAGAAACATAATAAGATCAGATTGATGTGTCCTAGTAATGTATTAGTTTCAAACAGTAGCTTATTGTAATGATTGTGTGCACCTTCATTATGAGGTAGAGCAAGGCTAGCAGGATTCCCAGAGTCAGACCCACTGAGGTGTCCATCTCATTGTAGCTGACCAGATAGCGGAACCAAAGCGGGACAGGAGCGATCACCTGATACAACTGACCCACCTCTTCTATGAGCATGTACCACTGACCCTATGGAAAGCAGGATGGATACGGTGAATCTAACGTTCACTTTGATTCAAAACAGCAAATTAATTAATGTTATGAATCATGCTCACCCTTCGCCGGTATGTCATGAGCGGGGAGGGGATGAGGAGAATTAGACACTTAAGCCCCATGAAGAAAAACTTCAAAATGAAGTTAGTCACACCGACGCACCATAAAACCTCCCAAAAGTTCTGCGAATCTATTGTAGCGTTGGCAAAAATGAGGCTGAGGGATGAAACGAAAGAAAGTAAGAGAGAGCCAATGGTATGTATTTGTCATTTAGTGGAGATTAGGTCATTTAGTTGATTTATTACACTAAACCTAGTACATTACAGTTTGTGGTGAAGTGAGGTTTGGTGATGCAATGTAAAGCACTTACCAGCGATAAAGTGACTGAGTGTGAAAAGTGTAGAACACAAGGAGACTGGAGGATGTGAGGAAAAGCAAGAGCCAGGCACAATGCAACTTTGTCCTTCGGTCCTTTACACAGGAGAAAACAAAAGATCTTCAGATTATTTAGTTCAATATATATATTTTACATACATACATACATAAATGTTGCCATTAATTGTAATAATCATTTTTGTATGCACAAGGAGTCTGACAACAGCCAGTGCTCAACACAGAGATCTGATCCTGCCATCTAACTGGCTTAAAACCTTTTTTTTTGTTGTTGTTGTTGTTGGTTAAAATACTAATGGCCTAAGACTTTTGCACAGTACTGTAAGAAGCATTTCTCAAGTTACAGCATTGATTTAAAATAGAAATATTTTGAAACACAAATATATTTACTGTCACTTCTGATCAATTTAATGCAAATTCCTTGTGGGATAGAGTATTAACTACAATTAAAATCTTAATGACCCCAAAAATATATACCCATAACCATACTAAAGAACTTACAAGCACTGATCTTTAGCGTCCATGTTAAATACCAAATAATATGGTGGACTTACGTGGAGAAAGACTTGCGTTTGAATGCTTTTGTTGACATACATAAAAGTGGTAAACAAACCCACTGCAACAGCCAGACCTACAGAAAAACAACAACACAGAAGTGTGACAGGGGACATGAACTTTACACATCATAAGCACTGCATAAACAGCTGTTCTCGCTAACACGTACCCAGGGCATGCTGGATGACTAGTTTCGCACAGAGAATAACTATGAAAGGAAGACTTTTCTTGAGCCAGCGCAGGAGGTAGCGCAGCTCCGATAATGAGCTGCTGGATTCTCCGGATTCCAGGTTCGCCTCGCCACTGTCTGACTCGTGCTCGTGGCTGTGCGTGTGTCTGTGTCCGTGAGAATGGGAGTGGCTGTGGCTCGCTGCTCTCAGCCTCCGCGAGGTCGCGCCACGTCCACTTGTGGACCCCGGTGAGCTGCCTATAGGAACCCTGACATCCTCGTCCGTTTCCGGCCCGCTGGAACTTCCAGCTCCAGGCATTCGGGTGAGCAGCTCCGGCTGCAGGGTTAATGTCAGCCCGCTCCCTCCCTGCGGGCTGGGATCGGTTTGCATCGGATCAGGTGAATCCCTCAGTTTAAACGCTCTTCTAGACTCGCTATATGTTCCTCTGTTGAAAAACAAACCAAATCAGTACATCAGAAGACAAATATAAAACAGGCCAACTCCATGTAAATATAAAGGTGTTTTAATCAAGTAGTAAGAAATACATTTTTTCGAGCTTCATTATCGTTCAGAGTCAGGGTTGCCAGGTTTTCACAAGAAAACCCGCTCAATTGCTACCTAAAACTAAACCAATGGCGTTTTGAGGGGGTCCCCAGTTAAAAATCTCGTTCCAGGGGGTAAAATACACGTTTTTTGGCGGGGTTCCCCTGCTTAAATTCGCATTCCAGGGGATAAATATCATGTTATTGAAGTCGCTTCAACCCGCGGACATGAAAAACAACCCAAACAACAGTGTTAAAGTAGCCCAATTCCGTACTTGGCAACACTGCTCAGAGTGGGTTTCTCTCATTAGCAAGCAGGGAGTGTGAAATAAAAAACCCAGAGTGGAACTATAAAAATGGGGGCCGTGTGGATGGGGACGGGAAATTGCTGTCGCTCCGCTCCAGTGATCCAGTCCGCGCGTTGCTTGGAGACTAGTGATGGCCGCTTTGAGAAGGGTCTGGCTGCAGCTGGCGCTTGCACTCTAAGGCTTGCACTCTCAGACACTTGCGCTTCCGCTAGCGACGTCACTTGCAGTCTTTATTATTTTTTATTTTGTTCTATTTATTGATTACTTTTTGTTTGAATCTCTCAACATTTTACAACAGTAGCCAGGTGGTGAAGACAAGAAAAAAGAAACTAAATTATGAAGTCACTTGCAATCGCCACTTGCACTCTCCTATACCTGCGAAGTCACTTGCAATAGACACAAATCGTGCGTGTTGCCAATGGAGACAAGACGCTGTGGTGGTGATTAAACGATTAAAACCAATTTAGTACTATAACATACGATAAGAATATGAACGCAATGCGCAAAGTCTCTCGTTAAGCGTTTTCCTCCTGTAGAAAAACATAAACACTTAACATGGCGTAATGTATTAAGATGCTATTAAAATATCAAATTAAATATACAGTTTATTAATATAATGACTATGTATATAGTATTTTCCTCCCACACCTTAAAACGTGGCATAATGGACTAAGATGATAAAGACCAAACTCAATGCTCTTCATTATTAAAATATAGCCTAGTCTCCATTGGCAACAGGCACGATTTGTGTCGATTGCAAGTGACGTCGCAGGTATCAGAGAGTGCAAGTGGCGATTGCAAGTGACTTCGTAATTTAGTTTCTTTTTTCTTGTCTTCACCACCTGGCTACTGTTGTAAAATGTTGAGAGATTCAAACAAAAAGTAATCAATAAATAGAACAAAATAAAAAATAATAAAGACTGCAAGTGACGTCGCTAGCGGAAGCACAAGTGTCTGAGAGTGCAAGCCTGAGAGTGCACGTCTGAGAGTGCAAGCGCCAGCTGCAGCCAGACCCTTTTGGCCTCTTTTGAAACACTGCTTCATGAAGCTTCGAAACCTACAAAATATTGACAGTCATTTTGTTTTGTTTTGGAAATATGTATTATTTGATGTCTTAGAGAATAGCAGAGAAAAACACAGTCACGTTTACATGATAAATCTTATTTTTTTACATGCAAAATTTCATATTCACAAATGTAAGTTCTCCTGCAAAAAAACTAGCTTTTTTTCTTTTAGGAAGGAAATGGAGCATTATATTGATACTATATGATTTTCTATGAAACAAAAAGCAATTAAAACGGTGAAAGTTTGTAAACGCTTTAATATTTTTATATAAATTTGTATTTGTATACAAAAAAAAAAAAACTTCGAAACCTTTGTGAATCTACTGTTTCGAAACAGTGGTTCGGAGCACATATCAAAATGCCAAAGTCACGTGATTTCAGTAAACGAGGCTTCGTTACGTCATAACTGTTTCGAAATTTCAATAGTACGCCTTAAAGGGGTCATATGATGCTTTTTTAAAGATCATTATTTTGTGTATTTGGTACAATCAGCTTGTAACACTCCAAAGAGAAAGGAAAACTTGAAATCGCATCATATGACCCCTTTAAGCCAAGTTCTTACTGCATGATTTTAGCCTGATTTTTCACTCGCCGACAGGTTTTTCGAAATCGCAGACAAATGCCCGAAATCGGAGGGAAATCGGTGCTCGTTCACGCGAGTGACAATCACGCAGTGTGAATTATCAAAGACGCGATCTGAGGGAATCG